AGGATGAGAATGAGAGATATGCTCGTGTCTATCTCATAGGCATGATCGGAGGAGTGTTCTTCTCCAAAAAATCAAGCAATCTCCTTAGTTGTGGATGGCTTAGGATCATCTTCGGTAGTTGGGAGGAGATGGGGGAGTATAGTGTCGTATGCACCACCTTTGGGACCACTTCCATGCTGGATCTAATCCCAAGATGGCAGCTCTAATGCCGGTGTGCCGATCAGAGATTATTGTCAGGTTCGTCCTCCTAGTGATGTGGATTTGAATTTGCCGGAAAAACCATCCATAGCTATCAGCATTCTCTCCCTCAACAATGGCGAAGGCTAAAGGAAAGACTTGTCTGTTTGCATCCGCCCCAATGGCAATCAGGAGAGTGCCCTTGTACTTGCCGGTAAGGAATGTACCCTCCACTTGGATCACAGGGACACAGAAGCCAAAACCATCAATAGATGACTTGAATGCCCAAAAAAGTCGTCTGAAACGGCGCTTGTTACTTGGCTCTGGAGGTTGTATCTCTTCATCTTGGTATCGAGGGGAGAAAACCGTGCCAGGGTTAGACGCCTCCAATGCCAAAATTAACCTGGGAAGGAATGCATATGATTCTTCCCAATCACCAAAGACGGCGGCTAGAGCTTTTTGCTTTCCATGCCACGCCTTCTTATAGTTAATTGTATAACCATAACGACTTGCAATGTCAGCGATTATGACTTTCACTTTCAGGTCCGGTTCTTGCTCAATTAGATGCTTGATAGCCGCAGCAACCACCCTGGATTTCAACTGTCGATGGCCTTGGGAAGTTATGGATGACACACATGTGTGTGTGTTCACCGCACGGGATATGACCCAGTGGTCGTGTCTCTTGCTCTTGATGGCCCGAATCCTAACATTGCACCCCTCGTGATGATTACGGCATCTGACTATGAGCCTTTTAGTGTTGGAATGAGTTGTGTGTCATTCAAAATGTCGAGTCATTGCTTCAGTCTCAATGGCGTGCCGCACCTCCTTCTTCGAGCCAAATTGTTGGTCCTTCATAAACCCAGTGAGTGGACCCCATATTGGGACCTCTGGCGGCTCCATGTCGCTGTCGACCATCCAATTGTCATCTGGAATGTGATTGTAGTAGGGGACTGGTACACGGTCACGAGCCACCTCATCATCATTAGCTGAGTCTGACTCTGGTCCTGAATCATCAGCACCTTCAAGAGGGTCGGAGCTGTCTGCACTGACGTTGTTCTCTCCTTCTTCATCGAAGGGGTCACTGACTGGTGCTGGCAGGACATCCTCCATGTGATCCAGCTCATGAAAGGCACCTTCATCAGCTCCATAATGGTAGTTGTGAAAACTACCGCTGCCTGAATGGAAGTTGTACTGAGGTTGGTTGGGGAGGTCCGGTTGAACTTCTTCTTCATATGACGGGAAAGATTGATTATGACCTTCACCTTGCTCTTGGTACTGAAAATAGGAATGTGGATCATGGTAACTTTGGTAGGGATGATCGCCATATAATTCACCTCCACCATGGATACCAGATGTTTGACCGTGTCCAGAATGACCTCCAACGCCTACGACCGGCTCGGTGTAAACGAACATCTCGGCTTTGGAAAGATTGTTGGACCTCAAGAATTCGAGCATGGCATCTACCTCATCCTGAGTGGTTATGAGATATTCCTCATGCCACAATGACCAACTTTCTCTGTTTGGATATCGGTACACCATACGATTAACTCTTCTCGTGCCATCCATGCAAGTAACGTTAGTGCACATTTGATGGAGGTCTTCAAGCAGCGGTCTGGTAGTGACCTTTATCTTCTGAAAATTGCCACCGACGTAGGTGACCCCCTTTCCGGTCTCTTCCGTGTAACCATTCCACCGTAAGCCTAGCGTGAACTTTTGGAATGCCATCTGCGAAAAAACCGTAGTTCAGTTAATATCATAAAAATGAAAAATAAAAAATAACACTAAAAAGTAATACTAAATAACTTACGAGTTAACGTTAATCGCAAAACTACTAAAGAAATATAGAGCTACAACCGAAAATTGAAAAGGGAGAAGGAGAGGTGTGAAGAGAAATGGTTTTCCGGGAAGCCTTTTATTGGCAAAATCACAGATGAAAACCGCACCTTAGAGGTGTGGTTTTCTTCTGCCATGCAGGCCCATGAAGACCCACGTCTGTTGTTCTGCATGGCATGTCGGAAATTAATTGACCAAAACCGCACCCCCAAGGTGCGGTTTGAGTGGTAAAACCGCACCATGCAGATGCGGTTTTGTTTGGGAGAAGCAAACCGCAGCTTCATGGTGCGGTTTAGATAGGTCAGGTCTAAACCGCACCTCGGCCAAGCGGTTTCTGTAAGTCAGACCTAAAACCGCTTGGCCAAGATGCGGTTTTAGTCGATGATTTTAAACCGCTCCATAGAGGTGCGGTTCATAAAAAAGGGTGCTATTAGTGGAAATTTTTTCGGCTGGGTGCTATTTTGTAATTTTTATTTTAAAAGGTGCTATTTCTGGAAAAATCCCGAAATAGAGTTAGTCTTTAGGTGTCGACCTAATATGTGTTTCTGCATGTGTTTCTACGTAGAAGCGTTTTGATGATCTGGAAACGTAAAACCGTAAGCTTATAAACGCGTTTTTAACTATATTAGTTATAAAAACTTCGATTCTGCATAGTTTCATTTTGGTCACCTAAAAACGTAAAAGCAGAAGTTTTTAAACTTTAAAGCCCAGTTTTGACTACATTGCTTCCATGTATATCACCACTATCAACCTTAACCATTGCAGAGCTACCTAGAATGGATTTATATTTCTTTCACAAACTTGGTTGGAACTTGGAATGTAATGATCATACGAAACAGTAGTTTGCCAGTTCTTGCTGCCGGTTACCTGAAAAGAAAGGGAAAACAAAAATCCATTGCCAAAGCATTGCAGACCAACAAAACAAATTTGAGTTACTATCAGAAAGGGAAACCAAACAAGTATATATAGACAACAATTTTCAGCTTCGGAGGTAGATTTGACAACTAGACTGAACAACTTCGGAAAATGTTCAAGCAAAATGAAATCACCAGTGGAATTAGAAAGGATCACAGAGGGGAAGGAGTTCTTACAATTTTGGAATTCTGCATCATGAATCAAGCATGACCCTGAAGAAAATGAGGCTCTTCATATTCTTCTCCGTATCGAAGGCATTTCCCCAGCGTATTAGGTCAAAACTGGGGTTTCCCACCATCATTCCAAAGCTTTCCATGAGTTGCAGCTGATCTTTTTCTCCTTCTCAAATTTAGCTTATGATTGCAGCTCTAAATTAAGCTGTTACTGAGGTTCATATCCGTCTTCTACAAATTGGTATTTGATTTGTCTAAAGATAATTACCATGCCCTGAAGGGACAGATTTGACATTCTTAAAATCATGCCAGCTTTCTTAACTTGTAACCATTTTAGGATATCAGAATTTACTTTCACTTTCTTTTACCATGATCATGAGAAGTAGTTGAGCTTTTACTAGGGAGAGGAGGCAGTAACCCCAAATGTGGGCCCAAACGAGACAGTTGGGCTCATACATTAAGATGGCGGGAGTTTACCATATTGAAATTAACACCATCACAACTTACCACTACAACTTCAATTTTCACAAAAACACTAAGGTATCGTTTGCTTGTTGGATTTGAAAATGAAAGTTTTGAGTTTTGAAAACCTTTTAGATTTATGATGGATTTGTTTCATTTTGTATTTGAAAAATAACTTTGTTTGTTTAGTTGAATTTTTTATCATGGATTTAGTTCATTTGATATTTGGTTCTAAAAAATTTGCTTTTCATAATGTGGTATTTGCAAATGCCAAATCAAATGTGGTATTTGCAAATACGTGGGGCGCACGGATTTGAAACTAAAAAAAGTGCCCAAATCAGTGGGGCCAAGGATTTGCCTACCTTAACAAACAATGACTTTGAACAAAAAAACATGATGATTTGTATTTGGAGACCAAATACAACATCCAAATCCCATTAGCAAACGAGCCTAATACTACCACAATATACAGAGAAACACTACCACACTTGCAAATCGGGGATTCCACTTTTCTACACAGCAGATATTCGGTCTACGAATGATATAAAAGAAAACTATGATGGCCACAAAGCTTTTAGACCCAACCAATATGATCTTAGCACCTAATATGAGTTTATGATGCATGAATGACAAAACGAGATGTAAAGACCCCAACGTTATTAGCACTAATTGAGACTTTGACAACCCCAGTTGAGACCCAATGGTATCCTTCTCTTCTTCAGCTTGACCTAGATCTGTAGACGAAATATGGCACCGCAATGGTCGATATAGCACCCACTACGACGATACTTGTAGCAATGTTATGAATGTCAAGAACCAGTTGATCCCAATAACTCGAGTTGTTGGGAGAGGTTCAATCGTGGATCATATACAGTTTACTAAGAATGAACCCACCAATATCTGAGTCCTTCAATCGCTTGATTAGAAATATATCATGAAAGTCTCCTTACACATCAAAATCGCTCAAAGATATGCATCCTTTCATCAAATGCAGAGACTAGTCCCAAATGTTGGACATCCCCCCACCCTACTTGGCTAGCATTAGAGAATCAAGAAAACAGCAGTGGACTAGTATTCTAATACTTAACCTCAGAGATTGAAAGCTAGTTAGCAACATTGCCAGTAGGCCGGAAGCATGACAAACAAGAAAGATGGTAACAGAAAACGAAGAAATCTTATTTGAGCTGATTCTGAGAAATTTACTCATTAGCATTCTAATACTTAACTGTTGGGCGCAGCGGGTGAGAATAGCGGGTAAATATATTGCACTAAGAAATCACACGCTTGTAAAAAGTTCACAGGTAAGTTGGACCTGGTGGCAGAGCCTCCAGAATTACGGTAACCAACTTACTTAGATCAATTTACTTCGGTAATTTAATAATGCAATATACTACGACTATTCTCAAAATAGCAACAAGCATAGATAATAATAAATGACACCGAGGATTTACGTGGTATACCCTGATTTTGGGCCAGTCCACGGGAACAGCAGCTCCGGAGTATTTCTTTACTATAATAATGGTAGGTTACAGAGATTTTCTCGATACAAGAAATAGAACACACGGTGTTTCCCAAACAACCTCACTATTCACTCACAAGGAAATCTCCTATCTACCCGTGGTAGTGAAAACGTTTCACTACCAAAACCCACAAAAGAAATACGAACAGAAGCAGAGCAACGGAATTGGAGAAGTATGGAATGGTAGGATGATCTAAAGAGCTATTGGTGGTCTCCTTTTATAGCCTAAGGAGAAGAGAGAGGGAATTAAATTCCAACCAAGTTTTTCGGTGCTAACTGCCTGCACCTCTCCCCAGCTGTGTTTATTATTATTTGTTAGTTTTTTTTTTATTCATTATCACCGCCAATTGCTGGCTTCTTCCTCACCACATGTAGGCGGGCCAACAATTCTCCCCCGCCTGACTACATAGGTGACTTCGTCATCCCTGCAGCTGATCGACAGAACTCAAACTTTTCTCTTGGAAGAGTCTTGGTACACATGTCAGATCCATTTTCGTCAGTATGGATCTTCTCTAGTTGTAACTGCTTCATTTCAAGCACATCTCGTATCCAGTGATATCGAACATCAATATGTTTTGATCGAGCATGAAATGATGCATTCTTCGCAAGATGAATAGCACTCTGACTGTCACAGAACAGTTGCGGTTGTTCCTGTAGGAACCCAAGTTCATTCATGAACTTCTTCATCCATATCATCTCCTTGCATGCTTCCGTTACTGCTATATACTCAGTTTCTGTTGTGGAAAGAGCTACACACTTTTGTAGCCTTGACTGCCACGATATTGCTCCCCCTGATAAGGTAATCAGGTACCCAGAAGTGGACCTCCTCGAATCAACATCACCTGCCATGTCAGCATCTGTATAGCCAACAAGGACATGTTCACCATCTCCAAAACATAGACTCATTTTGGAGCTACCTCGAAGGTATCTGAGGATCCACTTCACAGCTTCCCAATGTTCCTTTCCTGGTTTGGAAAGAAACCGACTAACAACTCCAACTGCATGAGCAATATCTGGCCTTGTACACACCATGGCGTACATCAAACTTCCCACTGCTGAAGCATATGGAATTTTATCCATCTCCACCTTTTCCTTCTCAGTAGACGGGCTCTGTTTGGATGTCAATGTAAAGTGGTTAGCAAGAGGACAACTAACCGCCTTAGCATTATCCATGTTGAAACGTTGAAGTACTTTCTCAATGTACTTCTTTTGTGACAACCATATCTTCTTGGCACCTCGATCCCGAATGATCCTCACGCCAAGAATCTGCTTTGCTGGTCCCAAGTCTTTCATGGCAAAAGACTTGCTCAACTCCTTCTTCAAATCATTGATCTTTGAGACGTTCTGCCCAGCAATTAGCATATCATCCACATAGAGCAAAAGTATGATGAAATCTCCATCAGGAAATTTCTTCACGAACACGCAGTGGTCTGAAGTAGTCTTCTTGTAGCCTTGCTCCCCCATAACAGACTGAAACTTCTTGTACCATTGCCTTGGTGCCTGCTTTAAGCCATACAAGCTCTTTCTGAGCCTGCACACATATCCCTCCTTGTTCTTCTTCTTGAAGCCTTCTGGTTGCTCCATGTAAATCTCTTCCTCCAAATCACCATGAAGGAAGGCAATCTTCACATCCATTTGCTCAACCTCCAGGTTAAGACTTGCTGCTAGTCCCAGCACAGTACGAATGGATGTCATTTTCATCACAGGTGAAAATATCTCTTCAAAGTCAATGCCTTTCCTTTGACTGAAGCCTTTCACAACTAGTCTGGCTTTGAAGCGTGGCTGACGGTTGTGTTCATCATGTTTGATCTTGAACACCCACTTGTTCTTCAAAGCTCTCTTGCCTTTTGGCAACTTCACCAGCTCAAATGTGTTGTTCTCATACAAGGAATCCATCTCGTCTTGCATGGCTTCTATCCACCTTTGCTTGTGTTCATCATTCATAGCTTCTGTGAAGCTTTCTGGTTCTCCGCCGTCAGTAAGTGAGACGTTTCAGTCTCGGGATATCTGGTAGACGGTCGTGAAATTCTACCAGATCTTGTTGTTCGAACAGGAGAACCTTCTATGGCTGGTGGTTGACCATCGTCATCAGCATCTTCTGGTTGAACCTCCACATGGGCATATGGTTCAACTATCTCAGGCTGATCATGTTGTGCTTCTTCTCCAAGTTCTGTAGGCGCTGGTGTTGGAGGCACTAGCTCAAGGTTTGGCTGACTAGCATCAGTACTAGGAATTTCTTTCCTAGCAACAACATCTTCGATGGTCTCATTCTCGATGAACACAGCGTCACGGCTTCTGATAAGCTTCTTCTGGATTGGATCAAAGAATCTATAGCCAAACTCATTTTGACCATAGCCAATGAATACGCACGGTCGCGTCTTTGAATCCAACTTTGACCTTTCATCCTTTGGAATATGGACAAAGGCCTTGCAACCAAACACCCGCAAATGTTTGTAGGAAACTTCTTTTCCTGTCCACACCTTCTCTGGGGCATCATACTTCAGTGGCACACTGGGTGACCTGTTCCACACATAAACTGCTGCAAGCAGTGCCTCCCCCCAGAAAGATTGTGGTAGCTTCGAGTGTGATAACAAGCACCTGACTCTCTCTAGCAGGGTCCTGTTCATCCTCTCAGCTAGCCCATTCAATTGCGGCGTCTTTGGTGGTGTGAATTGCTGCCGAATTCCATGTTCCTTGCAGAAGGTAGCAAACGGACCTCTGTACTCTCCACCATTGTCAGTCCGGATGCACTTCAGCTTCTTGCCAGTTTCCCTCTCTACCAGGGCCAGGAATTGCTTGAAAACGTCTAGGGCCTGATCCTTGGTCTTCAAGGTATACACCCAAGTCTTCCGTGAATGGTCATCAATGAATGTCACGAAATATCTGGCACCTCCAAGTGATTTGACATTGACATCGGGTTCACAGAGATCTGAGTGAACTAGATCCAACACGTTTTTCGCTCTTGAAGGGATGGAACTTTTGAAAGCAACTCTGTTTTGCTTTCCCGCCAGGCAATCAACACACTTCTTTAAATGAACATGATCCAACCCAACTATGACTTTATTCTGTGCCAACTTCGCCATGGACTTCTCACTCATGTGACCGAGCCGTTTGTGCCACAATTCAATTGTGTCACCATTCTCCGCTGAGTTGACAATCTCTGGGGAGATCTTGGCTTCCGTCACATATAGTTTTGACAGCTTCTTGCCCTTGGCCAACACCAAGGAGCCTCTGGTGAGTTTCCACTGGCCATTGTGAAAGGTGTTACAGTAACCTTCCTCATCCAACTTGTCTACAGAGATGAGATTCAGGCGCATTTCTGGAACATGCCTGACATCCTTCAGTAGTAGCTTCGTACCCTTCACCGTCTCCAAGCATACTTCTCCTTTTCCAATAACTTTGGAAAGGTTTCCATTTCCCATCCTTACCACACCAAAGTCACCTGGTGTGTAAGATGAGAAAAATTCTCTCTTGGACGTCACGTGGATGGTAGCACCACTATCAACCACCCAGCTTGTCTCCTGGGTTGTTAGGTTGACAACATCTTCCTCGTAGACAATATTGAACTCATCAATAGAGTTTGCACCATCATCATCACTGTTCTCATCTCGTTTGCTCTTCCTTCTCTCGTTTCTGAACTTTGGGCAAAATCTTCTGATGTGGCCCTTTTCCTTGCAGTGATGACAATTGATATTGGCAAACTTGTTGGACTTCCCTCGACTCTTGCCTCTTTGCTTCGAGCCTCTCGCTTCACTTCTTCCTCTGCTTCTGGAATCCACCGCCAAAAGGTCTGACTGGGAAGATGATGAGGATGCACCTTGTGATCTTTTCCGCATCTCTTCATTCAGAACCCCACTTTTGACGATCTCCATGTTGATAACTCCATCTTTCGCAGAGTTGGTAAGTGAAATTTTTAGCGTCTCCCAAGATTCTGGAAGGGAAGCCAGAACGAGGAGAGCGACCACCTCATCTTCCATCTTTATGCCCATACCGGACAACTGATCCACGATCCCTTGAATTTCATTCAAGTGATCCGCCAAGGATTTGCCTTCCTTGTATTTCATCTGGACCAACTTCGTCAGATAAAATAATTTGTTGTTGCCAGTCTTTGATGCATAGAGTGCCTCCAGCTTGTTCCACAGAGTTCTGGCATGAGTTTCTCCGCTAATGTGGTTGTATACATTATCGTCGACGAACTGTCGAATGTAGCCACATACTTGCTCATGTTTGAACTCCCATTCCTCTTCAGTTTTGCCATCAGGTTTAGTTGGGCTAAACACCGGCAAATGCAACTCCGTCACGAGTAGGAGATCCTTCATCTTGTTTCTCCATATGTGATAGTTGGAGCCATTCAGACTTATCATCTTGCTTGTTTTTGCCTCCATTGGACGTGGCTCTGATACCACTTGTTGTGCGCAGCGGGTGAGAATAGCGGGTAAATATATTGCACTAAGAAATCACACGCTTGTAAAAAGTTCACAGGTAAGTTGGACCTGGTGGCAGAGCTTCCAGAATTACGGTAACCAACTTACTTAGATCAATTTACTTCGGTAATTTAATAATGCAATATACTACGACTATTCTCAAAATAGCAACAAGCATAGATAATAATAAATGACACCGAGGATTTACGTGGTATACCCTGATTTTGGGCCAGTCCACGGGAACAGCAGCTCCGGAGTATTTCTTTACTATAATAATGGTAGGTTACAGAGATTTTCTCGATACAAGAAATAGAACACACGGTGTTTCCCAAACAACCTCACTATTCACTCACAAGGAAATCTCCTATCTACCCGTGGTAGTGAAAACGTTTCACTACCAAAACCCACAAAAGAAATACGAACAGAAGCAGAGCAACGGAATTGGAGAAGTATGGAATGGTAGGATGATCTAAAGAGCTATTGGTGGTCTCCTTTTATAGCCTAAGGAGAAGAGAGAGGGAATTAAATTCCCACCAAGTTTTTCGGTGCTAACTGCCTGCACCTCTCCCCAGCTGTGTTTATTATTATTTGTTAGTTTTTTTTATTCATTATCACCGCCAATTGCTGGCTTCTTCCTCACCACATGTAGGCGGGCCAACATTAACCTCAGTTCAATCTCTTTCGATTGGCCTTTCTACTGTTGCACACATCTATTAATAATGGGTTACGCCTTTGTACCAAGCTGCAACTTTGCTTAGAATTTCTTATTGCAGTTGCGAAAGACATTGTTTAGGTTTCTGCTTGAGCATAATTCCTTCACTGATATGAACAATTGGTGGAGAAACCTGTACTAGTTTGGAATAAGTAGAGGAGCCTTCGATCTCTTATGCAAGCTTTATTGACAGGGAGAGTATAATCTCCATATTGTGTAAAGTAAAGGCTTCCACCCAAAATGAAAATACCACATCGGTGATGGACACGAGACCACTGCCTTCCCTGACACAGTATGCTATATAACCCAACTCGAACTGTTCATTTTTCTTCACGCAGCCTTGCAGTGAGTACATAGCGAACTATTCTTTCGCCTTTTACTAAAGAATACCGTGTACGCGCTGCATATAGAGGCATACGTCTATTTTTGGAGGGTTGCTCCTTGATCGGACAGCCCCAACAATATTGAGTTAAACTGTTTGGTGTCTTTTTGTTATGAAATCAAATTGAACCAGCTTGAGTATAACCGTTTGGTGTCTTTTTGTTATGAAATAGAATTGAAACAGCTTTAGTAAAACTGTTTGGTGTCTTCTTGTTATGAAATCGAATTGAAACAGCTTGAGCTGCAACTTCTTGACTTATAATTTTTAAAGCAGTTCTCCTCAAAAGACCACAAATGAAATTTCTCCTAACATGAACTCAAAAGAAAAAACTAAAAATCCTGAAATTGAAAGAAGGGAAGAAACTGCATTAGAAGAAAATACTTGCTGGTTGTTTCTACGTGCCAGTCCATTTCTTCTTAAAGTTTACTTTCCGTCCACTGTTCATTGAATCGACATCAGAAGCTTGTATTCATAGTATTAATCCCAAGCAGATGGGGTTATCATGGCCGAAGGAGATAAAGGAGTTCCATCAACTGCTGACATTTGGTAGAACAAGAATTATGCACTAGTCTCTCATGTGTAGAACTAATAATCTAAAACACTTAAAACTGTTCAACACAACAAGCAGAGAAGGCATTTCAAAATCTACATCTTCCTCCATGTTATCACCACTATCAGAAAAAATGGGTCATCATAGCTAAAGTAGTTCATCCATACTGTAATACCACATCGGTAGTGGACTGAAGAGCACCCCATCCTTGGCACAGCTATGGCTATATAACCAACTCTAGCCTAGTCTTTTTTCTCTCACGCAGCCTTGCAGTGAGTACATAGCGAACTATTCTTTCGCCTTTTACTAAAGAATACCGTGTACGCGCTGCACATAGAGGCATACGTCTATTTTTGGAGGGTTGTTCCTTTAATTGGATCAGCCCAACAATGCCTAGTTCAACTCTTCCTAATGGTACAGCTTCTTGAGTTGTAAGTTCCCAAACAAAGTTCTCAGCTTTGCTGCAGAAATTTGGAAGAAAAATAATTATGCATTATTTTGTCATGTGTATAGCTAATAAATAATAATGCGATTAGAAACAAACCCTACACCTCAAAAACCACTTAAAACTGTTCAACACAACAAAAAGGGAAGACATTTCAAAATCTACATCTTCTTCCATGTATACCACCACAATCAAACTTAAACATTGCAGAGCAGCCTAGACTGGATCTATATTTCTTCACAAACTTGGTTGCAACTTGGAATGGAATGGAATGACCATAGGAAACAGCAGTTTGCCTGTACTTGCTGACGGTTACTTGAACAGAAAGGGAAAACAATAACCCATTGCCAAAGTAATTGAGACCAACAAAAGAAACTTGAATTATGATCAGAAAGGGAAACACCTAAACAAGTATAGACAACAAGTTTTCAGCTTTGGAAGTAGATTCGACACCCACACTGAACAACTTCGGAAAATGTTCCAGCAAAATGAAATCGCCATTGTAATTAGAAAGAATCACAGAGGGGAAGGAGTTCTTACAATTTTGGAATTCTGCATCATATAATCCAGCATATGACCCTGAAGAAATGAAGCTTCATCTTCTCCGTATGAGAAGCATTTCCCCAGCCTACTATCCCAAACGTGGGTTTTACCACCATCATTCCAAATCTTTCCATGGGTTGCAACTGCTCTTTTTCTCATTCTCACATTTAGCTTATGATTGCATCTCTAAAGCTTTTACTGAGGTTCATATCTAGAGTTGGAAATTGGTACGGGATTGGTATCCCAATATCAAATACCAAAATTTCGAATACTGAATTACACTCTAAAATCAATCGCAATCTCAATCCCTAAATAATTTTGGTATCCCAATCCCTAAATATTTCGGTATCTCAATCGGTACTTTGGTATCCCAATCGAAAATTAATTATTTTTGCAATTAATAATTAAATATATAAATTATATTTGATTGTTTAATTTGGGTCAAAGAGACTAAGAGTCCGTTTAGTATTGTTGCTTGTTTTTGTTTTCTGTTGTGTTTTATAAAATCACAGAAATCGAGGAGAAAAAACATGTTTAGTTAGGTTTTTAATTTTTGTTGTGAAACAGAGTTACACAACTAGGCCAAAATCAGAGAAACAATAAATTATTGCTTTGAATTTGATTCGTACACATGTTTAACACGGGATTTCTACCGGTTGTGTCTTTGATTTCATTAAACTAACCCCCAGTTCGAGTCCCTTCACATACTAAAATTCTGTTTATTTTTTTCAACCCCTCCATAAGGCCCCAACCCTACTCGCCATTCAACCGTTCTATTATTTTTTCAGCCACAAAAACTCGCCCGCCGCTGCTCATCCTCTTCCTCTCCGAGAGGAACGACGATCCCTCCGGCATCCAGTGGCGTAGCCAGGATTTCATTCAACGTGGGTCCGACGTGAAAATAAAAATATATATGATAAATATAATTAATATTTACGTGATCCACGATGTGTTTTTATAGTTTGTCGATCGATTTTCGTTTGATGATGGAGAAATTTACCCTAAATTATAAATTAAAAAACTAAGAATAAACCATTAGAGATGTAGTTTTATGTAAAAATCTAGAGTTAATTACATAATATGTAAGGTTAATATGTACTATAAAGTTCTCTACAATATGTTAGTTGAAAAGTAGTGAACATGAGGGGTTTGATTTTAACATTAGGGGTTTCGTACAAATACTGTTATTTTTGTGTCTTAGGGGTCGTTTTGAAATTGCGATTGTTTACGTGAGATTGTTACTTGTATTGTGAGATTGGATTTCGTATAAATACATATATTTAACAATCACAACTTCCAAACAAGCACTTAATCTCGAGCTAAGGTGGGTCCGGGGACCCACCCTCTTCCAAGCTAGCTCCGCCACTGCCGGCATCCCTGTCTTGCCGCCGCACCCGCCGCCAGCGCTCATCCTTCAAGCTCTTCGCCCATCAGACCCTGTCGTCCGCTCGTTCCCCTGCCGCACCATCTCGCCGCTCGCCTCACTGTAGGTTTCATGAAACCGTGAAGTTTGGGACTTCACACTTCCTACGAACATTTTTTTTCCGGGAATTCGCTTTTGATTATCGAATGAAGCATGAGATTTAGTTTGGTTCTTTCCTTTAATTTCTTGAACTCGAACGGAGTATGCAGAATTTGGTCCATTCCGTTCACTTTTGCTCTTGGCAGAATTTTCAAGGCCCAGAGAATTGTCAGCAAAGAATGCCACTTGCTCTTCCCAACCGAGGCCCAATTTTTCTGGGATTGTGATCATATTTAGTTACTAATAACAATTGCTGACTAGAAATTAGGTTGCTCGATTGATGTCTAAGTATGCTAATTTTTGGTTTTTAGTTTTTACTGAGAAGTAACTAAACGCGTTTCTGTTTTTTGTTGTGAGTTTTTATAATTTCTCATATTTACCAACTAAACAGGTTTGAGTTGTCTGTTTTTTTCTTGTTGTGGTTGTGCATGTGTTTCACAACATCAATACAACCACAACAACAGCAAAATAATACTGAACGGGACCTAAGCAAAGAGTCTTGAGTTTGCCTAGAGCTAGGATATGGATAAAGAGAATAGAGGAGAGGTGACATCTCAAATTCTTGTCATTGGTAATCTTTAATTTGACGAATTGGAGGCTGAGAGATGACTAATACTAGTTTTTGCTTTTTGGTATCATGAACATAACAAGAGATTAGGTGAGAGACGAGAGTGACTTAAAGTACAAAGTCAAAATTGAGTATGATGGGGGCTTCTAAGTTGTGAAAGAGTGACGAATGACCAAAGGTTGTGTGCTATATTTCATTAATTTTTAATTTTCCATATTTCTCGGTATGTTGGTATATACCGATCCCAATCTCATAATCCCGAATACCAAATAGCACTCCAAAATGAATCTCAACCTCAATCCCTAAAAAATAAATCGATATTCAATAATACCAAATAATGATAAATTCAGTACGATATTCGGTATATATCCCAAATACCAATGTCAAACTTCCATCTCTATTCATATGCGTCTTCTGCAATTGGTATTTGATTTGTCTAAAGATGATTATTTTGCCCTGAAGGGACAGATTTGACATTCTTAAAATCATGGATCATGGCAGCTTTCTCAACTTTTAGCCATTTTAGGATATTAGAATTTACTTTCACCATCTTTTACAATGATCATGAGACGTAGTTGAGCTTTTACCAAGGGGAGGGTAGTCACAACAAATGTGGGCCCAGATGAAACCGTTGGGCTTCTACTTCTTCACCAACAAATTTTAATCTTTGGCATCTCACTAGCTTTTACCCGAACGTTGGTCGAACCCGACCTGTTGGTTGGATGAATTTTATTTTATTTTATGTTGATAAATTTTTTCATGCTTTTAATAATTTGAGGTTTTCTAAAATAATTAATTCATTATTTCAAAGTAATTTTTATGGTGTTTGTTGATTATGACATTAGCGATAATTAGTTAATATGTATTTTTTTATCAAGTCTTTCTAGTGTACCGTTGTGTATTTTTTTCATAGCTTAGAAGAAATTTGTGGACTTTTTATTGTCGGAGATGAATTTGGAGTTGGAAAGAGATATATGTCATCTAGAATTGGTAGGAATTGAAGATATATTAAAACATTAAGAGAATAACGAAAATATTATACCTAGAAATCTCAAATATGGAAGAACACGAAAAAATAATACTTACTGTATAAATTATTATAATATAGTGTATAAACTTGTTATAATCTCCATATTGTGTTAAAGTAAAGGCTTCCACCCAAAATTAAAATACCACATCGATGATGCACACGAGACCACTGCCTTCCTTGGTGCAGTATGCTATATAACCCAACTCGAACTGTTTATTTTTCTTCACTCAGCCTTGTAGTGAGTACATAGCGAACTATTCTTTCGCCTTTTACTAAAGAATACCGTGTACGTGCTGTTTAAAGAGGCATACACCTATTTTTGGAGGGTTGTTCATTAATTGAACAGCCCCAACAATATTTAGTTAAAACAGTTTGACATATCTCTTTTGTTCTGAGATCCAATTGAACCAATTTGAGCTGCAACTTCTTGACTTATAATCTTTAAGGCAGCTCTCATCTAAAGACCACAGATGAAATTTCTCCTGACATGAACTCAGAAGAAAAAACCCAGGATCTTGAAATTGAAAGAAGGGAAGAGACCGCATTAGAACAAAATACTTGCCTGCCGGCTGTTTATACGTGCCAGACCATTTCTTCTTAAAGTTTGCTTTCCATCCACTGTTCATTTGAATCAACATCTGAAGCAATACTTGTATTCTTAGTATGAATCCCAAGCAGAAAGGGTTATCATGGCCGAAGGAGCTTGAGCTGGGCTCGGACATGAGAACCACATTGTTGATAGACCGAAGAACACCCCTTCCTTGAACTTGCCTCTTCTCCACACAGCCTTGAAGTGAGTACGTATCGAATTATTATTTCGCCTTTTACTAAAGAATATTGTGTATGTGCAGAGTTTCTGATTTGAAGCTGTTTGTTCTTATTTATATACACAATGCATGATACTACATACTTAAAAAGGGTTTCCAGAATCTAGACGCTTGCAGCTGCCAATGAGATGGTATGGTTTGGGTAGCCATCAGAGTATTTGCTTTGTATGGAATTTCTATACTTCTTGGTGGGGATCAGGAAACTGATCCTCGTGTCAACATGAGAAAAAATGGGTCATCATAGCTAAAGGAGTTCATCCATACTGTAAAATACCAGTATACCACATCGGTAGTGGGCTGAAGAGCACCTCATCCTTGGTATAGCTCTGGCTATATAACCAACTCTAGCCTAGTCTCTTTTTCTCACGCAGCCTTGCAGTGAGTACATAGCGAACTATTCTTTCGCCTTTTACTAAAGAATACCGTGTACGCGCTGCTTATAGAGGCATACGTCCATTTTTGGAGGGTAGTTCCTTAATTGGATCAGCCCAACAATAACTAGTTCAACTCTTCTAAAGTTACACTTCTTATAGAGGCATACTTTCACCTTTCTTTTACCATGATCATGACTCATGAGACATAGTTGAGCTTTTACCAAGGGGAGGGGTAGTAACAATATATGTGGGCCCAGACGAGACCGTTGAGCTTCTACTTCTTCACCAACAAATTTTAATCTTTGGCATCTCATCCATTGAGATGGCGGGAGTTTACCATATTGGAATCCTCCCAATACCATATAGGTATTCCCCATGAGACCATAGGGGAATGCAAAATTCATGTTTGCTGCGCAACTCCAGGAGGGACTTTCTGGTCTTTTTAATAGAAGCATTTTTTATTTTCACTTTGCAATCCCAGATTCCGTTGTTTGAGTTTGCTTCTTGGGAGGATATATGGGTAGTGGGATTGGGCTTAATTTATTACTTGACCACTCTTTGTGCTTAAACACATTAAAAAAAAAAATTCACAAATTCAAATCATATTGCTATTCTGAAACAAAGCTAATGTAAATTATAGTTTTAGTTACATACAAATATATAAAGTTCTAATTGTTAGTAGATTTGTTAGATAACCTTCCATTTCTAGCCATTATATTTTATCATGTGCGTTTCATGTCAAAGTAAATTTTAGTTTTAGTGACATACAAATATTTAAAGTTCTAATCGTCAGTAGATTTGTTCCCTTATAAAAAAATTGTTAGTAGATGTGTTGGATATAAGTAAACTTTCATTTCTAACTGTTAGTAGAATTGTTGGATAGGATTTTTAATTAAATCTTAATATATTATAATTTTAAGAATATAATTGTTGTTTATTCAGGAATGAAATAAAAATTAATTTGGAAAATACTGTTTCAAAATTCAAAATAAAAATTCTAAAAATTTCAAAATTACGAAAATTATTCAATGGCAAGATAAATACACACTCATTCGCAGACTTCGAAATAATCAATATCTACTCTTTCACCATTTTCAACTCATCCACTTAAGAAAAATAAAATATCATACCCACTAAAACAATTACAAAAAACTTACCACATAGTGAATCTCATTTTTATTTTATTTTTTTGCATTTTACAAATTCATAATTCAACTCCATACTCTGGACAAAGTCGCTTAGTCTAACTTTGTTGTACTGGATCACAAGGAAGTTAGATTTTTTGGAACGTTAGTTGTGAATAGTGATGGCAATGGGGCGGGGTGGGGCGGGTACCTCAATTCCCATGCCCCGCCCCACGCTACTACGGGTCGGGGCGGGTAAAACCCGCGCGGGTATGGGGCGGGTCGGGTCGACCCACTCTTACATGTTGTTAAAAAAAAAATACAAGTAAATTTAACTTTTTACAATAAAACGTAGGGAAAAACACTTTAAGAATGAAAAATATTGATAATAGAATGGATAATTGAGCCTAACAAGTTGAAAGATCGACTCTAACTAGTTGAAGAAAAGTCAAACTAGGAGAAATATGTATAGATATTGTAAGAAATTGAGATAAAATGAGTTTAGAACGGGGCAGGGCGCGGGTAATACACGCGGGGCGGGTTGAAATTGCCATCACTAGTTGTGAAACTATTCCAAGCATGTGAGAGAATGAAAAGACCTCTATCATTTTACCTCCTATAAATCGAGGCAATGGAGTTGAAGTTCGACATTAAGCATCACTAATTACAACATGACATATCCTATAAGTACGCAATTTTGAAGATAAGGGTGAATTTTATTTGCAGTAAAAATACATTTCATATTTGCAAATATTTCACCATTAGATTTTTGCTTTCAATAAAATAAAGAGAAGTAGAACGAATTGTTCACATTACTCTTATAAGAGGTTCTCTCACACAGTACTTTTACAAGAATCATACATTAAAATTAAGGGTTAATATATTTGTATGGCCTGAACTTTGACCAAAATAAACATCTTGGCCAATCTTTTCGATCTATAACATCCTGGCCCAAACTATACATCAAAATAACTAAATTGGCCAAACCCGACGTTTGACCGTTAACTTGGACGGTCAAACGTGTTGACTAACGGTCAACACGCCACATCACCACCCAGTCAGCATAAATAATGTTAAGAAAATTAAAAAAAGCCACATAATCTCATTATTTCAATTAAGTTAAAAATAAATATAAAAAGAAAAGAAAAAACAATCTCTTCCGGCCAAAAAGCACTAGGTCGCCCTTCTCGATTCCGCTTCCGGCCACTCAATCTCTTACCAAGACCTGTTCCCCCTCGTCAAATCATGGCCTCTGCTCTCCACAAATTGGGCATCCGCCACGGAGATGTCGTCTTGCTCCTCCTTCCCAGTTCAATTTACTTCCCC